TCCAAAATATTCAAATTTGACATTTACAGGGTTGTAGACATTAAAACTACGATAAATCTGATGATATCGAAGGTCAAAGTTGGTTATAAAGAAACAAGTGGAGCTCAGAAATCGTCACAATTGGCAAAAAATAGTCTTAGATGATTCAAACTTTGTCCAAAATGTAAAAAAAATAAATTAGTATTTAAAATAGCAAGGAAATATATAAAAAAAATCATTCAGAATGTGTCCAAAATTATATATAAAAAACTTTAAATGACTCAACATCAGTCCAAAATGCTAGAAAAAAAATCGTGCAGAAAAAAAATTAAAGAGTTAATTATATACTTCAAGATAACTCAGAAGTTTGTCCAAAATTATAGAGAAAAAAAAAAACTCCAGTGTCAGGTTCTAGCAGAACCCAGATGTGTTCTTCCTCCTAAATGTCATGTGTCTATCTGCTGCACTGATGAAGTTCTGAGGCTCAGAAATGATGGAAAAAGTCCATTAAAGTGATCAATCTGGACCCTCCTCTATGGACTTCAAAGTTCTGGAACTCTGGTCAGTAGATGAAGGTTCTGCAGACACAGAACCAGCTGGTTCTGGGGTAACTTTGTTCAGGTTTCACTGGTTCTACGTAGAACACGTTTCTCACCAGAATGGCTCTGAAGACGGTGGAACTGATGCCGTCTGCCACCTCGAACTCTCCCTTCTCGTTGGGCCGGGTGAAGTTGTTTTCCCGTCCGGAACCGAACATCCTGGTGAGGGAAAGACAGAATGTTTCATCATTACTGAGACGCACGTTGAAGCGTGTCGATGAATCGCTCCAGTCGTCGGGCTCAGCATCAGTCAAGCTGCGAGTTTCCGGCGCCGGCAGATGGTCGGTGCAGCGAGAGGTCAAACAGAAACATCCAGCTTTACCAAAGCCGAACGGGAAATATAAAAATATACATGTGGCACCAGCTGATCCCTCAGCCAGCGTCAACACAACAACAGTCTGACATCTGAGTCTGTGCGTTCACTCCTTCCTGTTTACACGTCTGCTGTTCTGGACGTGAAACTTCTTATACATCCAGATGAAACTGGATCCTGCAGCTGAGAGATCCGATCCTGAAGCCACTTACACACATTCTGCAGCTATTTTTGAGCTGCTAAACGTTGTTACCGGGAGACATCTGACTGCGTTATCGATTCTAACTTCTCGAGCCAAAGCCGACCAGAGATCAGAGCTTCAGCGGACAACAGAGGAGAACCGAGTGTTTGAAGTTTGAGAGTTCGGAGACAACGACACAAGACGACCAGAAGTCTCCGTTTTACCGACGTTTGATACCTTCAGGACACGGCCCGCTCTGTGGAAAAGTACTTCAGACGCACAATAAATAAGTTATGAGGCTTAAAAATGCAGGAAAAAGCAGCACGGATTAGAGTTTGCTAAATTTAAACCCGTCGGAGTGGCGGACTTCGACGGCCTGGAGCTGCAGCCTGAGAGGAGTCCAAACTGAAACTAAAACGCCAAAGTTGTTTCTACATCAGAGTTAGAATACAGCCAAATTAAAAACGTGAAGATGATCCTGGTGTCAAATGTAGGTTAAAAAAACTAGACCTGTTAGTAAAAATGACTCAAAATTTGCCTGAAAAATACGTAAAAATCGTCCAAACTGACTCAAAAATGAGTTTTTAGGTAAAAACGAGACCTTTCATTTGCTGTAACTCGTCCTGACTTAAAAAATGTCCAAAATTATTCCGAAATACAGTAAAAATGACTCGAAAGTTGTCAAAAAATACACACAAATTACGCCAAATTACAAATTACTGTCAAAGATTCATAGAAATTTGATCAAAACGACTTTAAACTGACTCAGATTTGTTTTTAGATAAAAATGAGACCTTTCTAGAAGATGATCCTGGAATTAGACGTGTGTAAAAACGCTCCTTCCACCATCACACATGCTGATATGAGCCTGGAAAGTTTACCCAGAATGCACTTTGTAAAGTTTTCTCTGGTGAATGATCAGAAACCAGAACCACATCCAGGGTACCGATGATTGTTTCTATGACTCTATGTCTTGCTTTGGGCATCAAAATAGCTCAGAAATGGTTAAAAAGGGATTTAAAAATGATCCAAAATTACAAAAATATTGCTCAGAATGACACAAAAATGATCCAAAATGACTCAAAAATGGCGAGAAAGAATAAAAAATTGTACAATTTGACCACAAATTGGTTCAGAATGACTAAAAATTATACGAAAACGCTGCTGAACAGAAACCAGTGTTCAGACTGTGACTCCTGGATGGATGTAAAACTGATTTTTCTTCAAGGACCTGGAGCTCTGGAACACTCCCAGTATGAATGTGGACCTGTACGTGGTTTCTCTGGACCCTTACCTGCCCAGCATGGTGTTGGGTTGAGCCGTGAAGATAGCAGGATCCACCACGAATCTGGTGTTGTCCACGATGAGCGTGACCCGCTCCCCCAGCCTCAGCGCCCCCCGGTGGCCCTCCTTGCTGCTGAGGTCGTAGACGTAGATCATGTCGCAGGAACCCGGGACCAGCGCTTTGGGGTGGTGCTCGGCTCCGGGAGGACCCAGGGACCGGGGCACGTGGGCCCCGATCAGGGCGCCTCCCACGTGGGCGTAAGGAAGAGAGACCCTGGGGGGACGAGGGCTGGATGACCTGGAGGACGAACCTCCGTCTCCACGTTCACGGTCTGAGAGAGGACGATGCACAAACACAAATAAACAAATAAACAACAACACAAACGCTGACTTCTAAACCGGCTAATGATCCCAGAGGTCTCAGTTTCTGTCCGTTTGTTATTTAGGACCCAAAACTAGAATATTTTTGGCTAAATTTTAAGGAATTTTCATGTTTTCAGACGAGAAATTTTTGTATTTCCACCCTCAAATAAACCTCAAAGTCATTTTAAAGGTTCAATATCTCCAGAAATAAAACTCCAACAGTCATGAGATGTGGTGAGGACTCAGACAGAAGAGTTTATATCAGATCAGGATGATTGAATGGATCCAGCAGAGGACACAGTTTGAATTATTGGACCTTAAGAATGGAAAAAAACTGGCTAAATTCCCAACCAGGCTGGTATTGATGGTACTCTACTGGTCTCTACCATGACATATCTATGGATGGATCCATGGTTCTACTAGAATCCAGTCTCTGGTCACATTTCACCAACTGTTGAGGCTCTAACATCAGTGGAACCTGATGTGTGTCCAAAAATGACACAAAAATGTCCCGAGTTGTCCAAAAATTGACAGTAAATGATCCAAAATGTGTCCAATACTGACATAAAATTGTCTTAAACAATGCAAAATTGTCAAAAATGACTAAAAATTGGCCCAAAATTACTTAAATTTTGACCAAAAGTACTCAAAACGATCCAAAATGACTCCAAAAATGACACAAACCATAACCCTAAACCTAAATTTGTCCAAAAATTAAAATTAAATTATCCAAACTTAGTTCAAAACGGACAAAAATTTCAGCAAGCAACTTAAAACTGTTTAAATTACTAAAAATTGGCTCAAAAAAACTTACATTTTGTCCTAAAGTACTGAAAATGATTCAAAAATGTCCTGAATTAGTCCAGAAATGACCTCAGTTGTTCAAAAATGGACAGAAAATGACCCAAAATTGTCCAAAACTGACATAAAATTGTTCAAAATTCCTAAAAATTGTCCTTATTGACAATAATGAATAATTATCGGCTCTTAATAATGGAGAAAAAAAGGACTAAACCTCCATCCAGGCTGGTGTTGATCCATAAAGCTCCTGTCAGTGTCTATCTATGGATGGATCCATGGTTCTACTAGAATCCAGTCTCTGGTCACATTTCACCAGCTGTTGTTGTCTAACATCAGCAGAACCTGATGTGGTGAAGTTGGACCAGACCAGGTTCCAGGTTTTAGATGTTCAGACTAAATGTGGATCATTGGTAGGAACCAGAACCTGGAGGTCACAGGTTCTAGATGTTAGAAGCTGCTTCATGTTTATTCAACAGCACATGAAGCTGATCACATCCAGATGTCGACACTTGGAGGAACTTTCTGAGGATCAACACCAGCCTGGATTGAAGCTTTAGTAAATGAATAATGGTTTATTTGTTTATTAACGTCTTCTGACCGTGCTGTCGAGTCGGAGACGTGACGTTGCGGATGCAGGGCGTCAGCTGACTCTCTGATCTCTCGTGGGAGGAGTCACGCGACCGATCGCTGGAGCGCCGCCGCTGTTCCCGGTAATGTTCTCCTCCTCCTCGTTCTCCACGTTCTCCTCGTTCTCCTCCTCGTTCTCTCGCCCCGCCGACAGCACCGGTACCGGTACCGGCACCGTACAGGCTCATGGTCTGGACCTGCTGCTGCTGCTGGTGGCTGCAGTCCAACGCTGGCAAACCACACGGTTCACTGACGGACACACAGAGAGAGAGAGAACACACACAGGGTGAATTACAATGCTGAGAAACTTTATTTATAAAGCAGAGTTTACGAAGCGCTGCACAGACGGGACGAAAAATAAAAGGAGGAAGAGCATCCAACAACAGAAAGCGGGTTGGCAGAAATAGAGCTAAAGGTGGTGAAAGATTTACTAAATGATAAAATAATAAAAAAAAATAAATACATTTAAGTAAGAGAAAAAAGAACAAGTGGAATAAAAGAGACGTTAAACCCATAAAGACAAGGCTGGAAATAATTATATTAGCAGCAAAAAAAATATATGTAAATAAATATGTAGTTGTTATTATATTTTAAGGTGCAAAAAGGAAAAAAGAACAATAAAATGAATAAAATGTAAAACAAACAAATAATAATAATAATAATAACAATAAATAAATAAAATAAATGTAGACCATAAAAATAAAAAATTAAAAAAAATTTAAAATGTA